GCACATTATTTTATATACTCTTCAACAGTTAACTTATCTATAGAGTGCTATTTCAAGAATTATATGTTTATAATAAGAATTCTATGTTTTATTGCTTTCTTTTGCTAATTCTAGCATATTGTAATGCAGAAATTTGGTCATACCAAAGTGACTAGAATTTTTTCCTCTCCACATAAGTTGTCACAAATGTGACTTTAAATATCAAAAGATATTAGTCCTTTTTTAGATTCTCATCTTACAGCAAAAAGTTGATACTATTAGTTCCTTTGTTGGTCTTTACCCAAATTAGTTGAAAAATGAGTCATTGCATGTGCACTTAATCAGAAGAGTATAAGAACGGAATTCTTAAATATTATTAGTCAAACATACTTAACTTGGTTAAACAAACTCATTCATGGCCAATTGAAAGGAGTTCTAAATTTAAAATAGAATAATGATTAAAAGCATGATTGATCTTAATTTAATTTCTATTAAGTTGTGTTGCTCTTTATTATATATTCAAGTTGGGTTTAAACCCAAGTGTCATACCATGGGGTAACCACTTTTTTGCATTAGACCTTTAGTATATTAAAATTTTGTTAAATTTTATGTAACAATAAAAGGGTTGAATATATGGAATTGGTGCTTATAGGGCATTTTAGTGTATACCAGATTGTTTTGTAGTATAATAACCTTGAGGTTTGATTTTAAATTTATGTGTATTACATTTGGTATTATAGGGATTGTCTTAGCAATTTGTATTTAACTTTTATCAAAGTTTCTAATTTTAATTGTATACGCAAAAAATTTCCTATAAAATCTAAATTGACATATGTAAGATTATACCATTTAAAAAAATGTTTTATTTATTGTTAAAGACATGAATACAATTGGTTAAATGGCAAAATAGAATTATGCTAATGATAAATCAATGGAAGGAAACTTATATTATAAATGCTATGAAAAAGGCTAAATTTATGTTAAAAATTTAAGGAAGGACACCTAAGCCCTTTACACACCAAGGCATGCGAGCTGTGAATTCTTGTCAGCTCTTAATGCAATCCCCAACGTGCGGATGCACTTTTTTAGCTCCGGTAGGGAGTGCAGGAACATACCTCTTGTGCAACAGATCATGGAGGGTTGCTGCTTAAAGTGTAGCTATGATACCTTTTCTATGTCTCACATGACAAAGGAATCTGGTTCTTGGGATTACAAAAAGAAGTTGGAGAACTTGGGTTTTGAGCTTCCATGGACCATCATGGTGGACGACGAATCCCCGGATGTTGCGGCTACTGGCGAAGAGATTAACTTCTTGCAGATGTATTATTTCGGTCAATCAGAGCATCCGCGAGATCAGCAAGTGCTAAGGCTGCGCAAAGAAAACAGTTTGATCCGAGCTCTCGGTTTGATAATCTGGGCTTTGGAATTGTCAATGATAGCAAATTGCACTTTGGTTCAAGCTTTGGTCGCAATACAGTGGGACCAACATGGCAGGTATGCCCATCAACGAACGAATGCGATGCAAGTTTATGGAGTTGGACTTGCCGCAATGCAAAAAATAAATCAAAGTATCACACTCTTGGGTTGCAGCAGTGATGCTACTGTCTATCCATGGTCTGAATTAGAGATGGATGATCATGCAAAGGCCCATCAAAAGTTTTGGAGGATTGGGTTTGGGAAGCAAAAGTTAGACAGACTAATGATGCATAGACTGCAATTAGATGTTTCTCTCCCAGCAGTTCAGACTCGTGATGTGGAAGATCTTTGTATTGATGTACTGTATTGCCAATAACACAAGAAGCTTTGTCGAGCCGCAGGGAAGAGAAACTCAAGTACGTTGAGACGGCTCTAAGATGAATCAGCGTGGCGAGGGGCTTGTAAAAATAGCCACTGCTGGGGCGAAGCATCAATAAATATATTGAGTTTCTTAGAATCTATAACAAAACGAAGAAGTCGTTCTCATTTCTTGTACTGCACGGTGAAGTTGCTTAACCATACCTCGTATATCACCATGATAAGACATTAAATGAAAGAATACAAAAGAAAACGAGAGTGGAAACAAAAATAAGCAACAGAACAAAACTGAACGTGCTAAAAGCAACGCCAGTCCAGCGAAAAGAGTTTAAACGCGCAATGTATACAGTCGCTAGGACAAATGTATCTTGCTCTTAAAACTGCTTCTGGTCACTGCTTCGATTTTCGGGCGCTGATTCCACTCGGCGGGCGCCAATGAGGTTTGCAACGATCACGCCAGATTACTGCCCAGGCTGGCTCTTGCAAAAAGTGGGGAGCAAGGCGTGAAGACGATAAGAGATGCCGAAGCTTTTTCTTGACATCGTTAGATTAGAAGAACACGAATTTTTGATATGGGAGCTTTCCAAGTTTTGCTGCATTTTGATTGCGATCCGGTCTTGCAGGCAGACTTGGATCCCACAGTCTTGCACTCCCCCCGGTCCATCTAAGCTGGGACAAGGTGTCACTCTTGCATTGTTTTCGGAGCATGGAACTTCTGTGACACTATGCGTGTAAGCAAACTCCTCTTCCCAGGGGACTGTAATTTAGAACCAAGAAAGTCACCAACAAGCCATGACACAAAAGCAAGAAATCGTACTTGATCCACAAAATATATGTCTCGAGATAATGTTTCTACTTTTTGTAGGACATTTCCACTTAGCGCCTCGCGACAAGAATAATAAAAACTTGGAGGGCGTAGAAGGTTTGCAATAAGACCCAGAAGCTGGCTCCGTACTTGGGAGCTTTCGATGATTGGAGGGAGATGGGAGGGAGATGAAGCACGCACCAGGGTCCCGGGGTGAGCTTCTGTTGTTTTCTTTTCTTTTCATCAGAAGGACTACGAGATGGGCGTGTGTGGTCGATCTTCTGTTGTTCGGGAAATTCCACGATATTTCCAGCTGCGCTGATTGATTGATCGATCGATCGCCTGGATCCGCCGCCGTGACTTTTTCTTTTTTCATTGGGACTTCGATTGTTTACAGATTCCGCATTTGGTCGAGCTTGGCGTGACAGGAGTTGAGCTTCTTCAGTACGACGAGCTTAGGAGACTGAACCGACATGGTTAGTCGAATAAATTATTGCGATTTCTACAAACTCATTCCTTATACCGGTAAATGCTTGGGGCTACTCAACCATGAACTTCTCTCTGGAGCTCAAGCAAATGGTGAAAGCGCTTCATATAGTAAGCTGAAATTTTCCAGGCACTATGTTCTTTCGTGATGATAAAGTCCGCTTTTTCTGTGAGATGGCGATGCCAGGTCGGGTGCTTGGCCGTGAGCTGGCTCCATGACCTTGAAACGCAGTTGAGTAGGCCACATTGTTGGCGATGAGCTTTTTTTGACGCAATGAAGCGTTTCACTCAGCACAGCAGCGATCACCGATCAACCCAGGAGAGTTGCTCCTGGAACGCCTGGTAACTATGCCTTCTAGCTGGAGCGACATATCAAGCTTCCACTAGAGTAGACAGAGGAGCTTACCGATTCCGTGGAGGGCTTTGGCTGTTATGGGAATATTCACTCAGAGCAAGATTTAACACTATAAAAGACTAGAAGATTTGTGATTCACAAAAGCCAGTAAGCTTTTCTTATTCTACTAATGAAAGAAAGTTTGCAATTTCATATCAATTTTTCAGCATGCGGATTTACACAGATTTTTAAGAGAAAAGGTGAATCCTTGCCACAAGAACTAAGGGTTTAGATCGATCACCCAGCAAAATGCTGCCACCAGCATGGTTATATGTGAGATGGCGAGTGGGAGTACCTTTGGAGTGGATGCCAGGGAAGGCATGTACTGCCCTAGAAAGCACACTAATAGAACTTGTCACTCAGGAGTTTGATCACAGTGAATGAAACAACAAAAATAAGAATATATCCCAATTGGAACCAGTACATCCTTTCATCCTGAGACTTTGACTAAGACTTTCCCCTACCATTTTACCAACTTTCAACTAACCTCTCGTCACTGTTTCTCGAGCTCTTGACACAATAGACCGCACCCCTGAAGGAACTCTATGAACATGTCCTCCACCTGTAACTATTGAAACAAATATCCATCGATCGTCATCTGTGGTGGAAAACGCAAAGTCCGTAGTACAGGCTGTGGCTTCCACCATCCGAAGTTCCAATGAGGCATAGATAGCAAAAACTGCATCCAGCGTTGCCTAAACAGACCAAACAAGTTATAAGTCAATGCGAAACAAAGTACAAAGCGTTCATTTACACACCTGTATCAAAGTCCACCATCCCGACTCGCTGCGTAGCTCCTGTAACACAGCCAAAGTTGGGAATGATGATAAGAGATGACATTTTCTCCCCAGTGGCTACACCACCAAAGGTGATCTTGTTTGGATCCCGACTGGCAGGACGAATCCGCATTCCCCGGTCTAGGCATTCTCCAAGAGCTTCCTCAAAAAGGTTCCCATGCTGCTTATACTCGTAAACAATCTGCCCATGAACGTTGGCTATTGCTGGTGTTATGTGTAGCAGCCCCATGTCATGTCTACACGATAAGACGTCCGGAAGAGTGACCACTCCAGCCTTATCGTGAACGCGTAAATTTTTGAGGAAGATCTTGCAACGCTTGGTAAGCTTGCTTGCTTCTGGCCTTACCCCGTGGATGGTTTCCAAGAGAGCTGCGGTGATAAGCTTGATAAACCTGCCTCCTGCGTCATTCTTCCGAAGATCTTGGAACCGTTGCTCAAAGGACTGGCAAATGCTGCCCAACTGAGGGTGTCGGGCAGCAAGAACAAGCGTCCACAATCAGCCCTTCCCTAAGGTACTCTAGGTACAAAGAGTGGTATGACATCACGCCTAACATCCAGGTATCTTGTTTTGCATATCGGCAGCACATAACAAAATTGTCAAAACCTCTTTTAATGCTCCGAGGAATCAAACATTACCTTTAAAAGCAGCTACCTCAAACGCTATGGCATTGGTAAACCCATGTTGCTCTAAGCTCTAGTTCCTCAGCTAGCCGCACACTGCATCCTTCCACGTAAATTAATAATATACCCTTGGATTGTAACCGTCAATCAAAGTCAAAGAAAGTCAAACAAAATCAACGTAACTCCTGTGGAATAAGCAGTTCTGATTTCGTCTATCCGTATTTCATGCCCAAAACTTCGGTTCTAACTGCCTTCCTCTTCGTCTTCGTTGTCTTGTGGAGCATTGAAAAGGTCGGTGTTCTCGGGGAACACGAGACCAACGTCCGAGTTTAAGATCGACGGAACCACCACTGGGAAGTCTCGTATCCGTCCGTAAGATGGCCCAGCCTCGAGCGCTTCTGGTTCAATCCCGATGAACGAAGCTCGTCCAACAAGTCCGGGACCGGTGATGGTTATCACGCTGTCACCTTCGTCAGCAAACTTCACCACCGGACGAGACCGAGGTGGAGATGCCCGAGGAGGGGAAGCTGCCGCTGATGCTACTTCTCCTAGATTGCTATCCGGTCCAAACTTCACAGTGGGCCGAGGCTTAGCGTCCGCTGGTTTTGGAGCCTTCTCACTGACTTCCACGGCTTGAGGAGCTATGGATATCGAACGACGCTCGGAGATCTTTGGTGGTGTTGCTGCCGCAGCTCCCGTAGTTGCTGCCACTGCTGTGCTGCTGCTACTACTAGCCGCGACATCTGGAGTGTTTGGCCTGCTTCGAGGAGGAGTAACACTCTGCTTGCCTGGCGCCGACGAAGTTCCTGCGGCTGCTGCTGCCAAAGCTGCTGCTTCCGACGGTCTCAAAGGCCTCACAGACTTGGCTCGAGGAATAGTCCCTTTCACGTAAGCTAAAACGTTGGGCCGGCTGTATGGAGGAATGAAACCAGGTGGAAGATCTGGAGCCGACGTTGGAACTGGCTGAGTGCTGTTGGCGTCGTGTTTTATGTGAGAAGCCGGCGGCCTCGTTTCGGGTCCAAAGTGCGAAGTAAAGATCGGATCCACTTTCTGGACTCGTTGGCGCATCGATTCAATGCTAGTCGATTGATCCCCAGCAGCAGCAGCAGCAGCTGTAGCAGCATCGCCTTCCTCCACCACATCAGCGATTGTTCTTCCAGTGACCACAGATCCCAGCATGTTTGGATTCTCGTAGAAGTGAGTTCTTTTCCTTAGAACTGGAGCCAAGCTCAACGGAGAGCCACCACCCGCGGGAGTAACTTGCCAGCCTCGAGAAGGACTTCTTGTCAGCTGATACGGTCGCTGCTGCTCCGGAAAGAGCTTTGGCCTCGGACCACCTTGCTGCTGCTGCTGCTTCGCTGATCCTCCTCCTGAAGATTTTCGTGATGTTTGCGGTGGTATGGCTATGGCCGACTGTCTCCGGGATGATCTTCTTCCTAACGAGTCCTCTGAGCCTCGAGGTTGGACAACTGTGAATCTTCGGTGAAACTCTTCTTCTGTCTCATGCTCCTCGTCGCTGTCGTCGTCGGATTTGGAGGCTCGAGCAAGCAACTCCAGTGTTGCTTGTTCGTCATCAAGGACAGGAGCTTTGACGTAGAACATGTCTTCGTAAATGCCGGAATCCACGTTAAATGAGAACCGTGGTGCTTTGGCACGTATCTGTAGGACAACAGCAGCACAAGATACATCCTTGGTCACTAGAAATTATTTTACCTTTGCATGGTGCTCTTCTATCAAGTCAAGCACCTGGCGGACAAAACTGACCAGGAGAATCCGGCACTCTTTCTTTAGCTGCACGAGGACTATATAAGTGTGGATGCACGGAAAGGAAACGATCCTTGCTTACATCTTGTAGACCGTCACCTTGGAAGAGGCTCCCTTTCTTAAAGAGAAGACGATAGATCTCATCCGAGTAGCGAACTTCGTCCTGGAGCCTAGTAAGCGTTGGATAATCATCGTTGGGTTCTCTCCCTAGAAAATGATGACAAACAAAGCACTTCGGTGACTGGAAACTCTTCAAGAACAGATTTTAGTTACCTGGATCAGTCAAAGACATTATATCCCAGAGAATCAACTGCTGCAACACTGCGCTCTCCTGCCTGTCCGCTTCAATCGACACAGCTTCGATCTCCTTTCTCAGATCAGCCATCTCGGCATTAGCTCGTAGTAGCTCCAGCTATTCCAGCTAGTATCTGACCCGAGTTAGAAAAACGAAAAACAAAAAGGCGGATGCAGAGGTTTCTGGATTACCTGAAGTGCCTGAGCTTCCTCGCCATGAAGAGAAGCAAAGAGGCGCTTCTCGGAAGGAGATAGCGCTAGCAATCCCCGGATCTCTCCAACAACAGCGCGAGCGCAGCGAAGATCTCCTGGACAGGAGAGAAACAAAAAAGCAAGGTTTAGCTCTAGGAAAGTTTGCGTTCCTTTACCGTGTAGCTCTTCTCTACTCTCGGCAGCGAGAACCAGCTTCTCTGTCCATTCTTCCTACAAAAAAGAAGAACAAGAAGAAGAGAGCTTGAGCAATCAAGTTTAATAAATACATACGCACCAGATTATCACGGGACGAGGCTGCTAGAATGTAAGTCTCGGTCTTGGAAAATCCAACGTGTTGTGTGCCGATGTTGAGATAAAAAACATATCTTCGCAGCTTGCCTCCAACATCCGCGGACTCTTTGATCGTGCAGCCCTCGATTGGAATAAGTCCCAGAGGAGTTTCTGTCTAAACGAAACAAATGAAACAAAAACAGTGGCGATGGTCATTTCTATCGAAACTTGGATTACCTGTTGCTCGCTTATAAAGTAGAAGAGAAAATATCCCTGTAAGACGAAGTAGCGGCGTTTCCACGATGTAAATCGCCCTCCGCGCTTCTCCAGGTAGCCAGCAATCTCTGGATCGCCCCACAAAACTCTCTAGGATAGAATGCGCGTGTTGTTAGATCGATGATTTGGGCGAGAATCCTGTTGCTTACCTGGTTTTGCATCCCCGACAAGGTAGTGGTTACGGATTCCCTGGGCAATCCTTCCTTGGCAGCGGTTTCTCGCTTCCCAGCCTCCTCCTTGCCCGCCATTTTGCTTCAGTGAACCTTTTCACGATAGGTTAGATAGTAGACCTAGGGCTTGCAAAAAGAATATCCTCAATGTTTGCTTAAACTTCAAAATTTGATTGCAAAAAAGAGAATTTAAACTTTGTCATTTATGTCATCCATATTACAACCATAATGTGTTTTTGAACAAATGTATTAAAGTAGTGCATGAAGTCTTTATGTTGTTTTCACCATCATATAAAGTTTGATACCAAAATCATTTAGCAAATATTTCTTATAGATATAAAATTATATCTTATTCTAATTTTTAATTTACATTTTTTCAGCACACACCTAACATTAATAGGTTTTAGCATGATCAATAAGAAAAAATTATGCATATGCAACCTTTGTAAGATTATTTATATCTAATGTTATAAAATAATTTTTTATATTATAGACTCAATCTTTAAAACTTAATATTTTTATATGCTTTTAAATCTAGGTGGTTTATAGGGTATAAACTTTGAAATTCATACAATTGGAGGCAATTGTAAAATTTTATTATCCTTAGAACTTGAAAAAGAATTTAGTTACTTAAGTTTAATTACTTTTACTTTTTTATTACTTTTTAACTCCGATCTTTTTTGGTCACCACAAAAATAATCGGATGATACAAAGCAGGCATTTGTAGAGTTTGAGCTTGCCAGAGTCCACATGTTTGTGAGACACAAAATCCCTAAGCCTCAAAGTGGAGCTGGAAAGGGTGCCACGTGGTAGTGGCCGAAGCGAAAGCCAAACGAGCATAACACGTTTGGACTAAAAGCTCCGACTTGGAAAGTCGAGAGTGGGAGTGGAACTCCCAACAAAGGGCTCGAGGAACAAGCACGAAGCAAGCAATAAGTGAGGCTCCAAAAAGGGACCCAAAAAGGACCAACACATGACACGTGGAAGAGTTCGAGATGGACCGAGATGGAGTCCGAGATGGAGTCCGAGGTGGAGTCCGAGATGGAGTCTGAGATGGAGTCCGAAGTGGAGTCCGAGATGGAGTCCGAGATGGACCGAGACGGAGTCTGAGGTGGAATCCGAGATGGAGTCCGAGGTGGAGTCCGAGATGGACCGAGACGGAGTCCGAGGTGGAATCCGAGATGGAGTCCGAGGTGGAGTCCGAGATGGAGTCCAAGATGGAGTCCGAAGTGGAGTCTGAGATGGAGTTCGAGATGGACCGAGACGGAGTTCGAGATGGACCGAGACGGAGTCCGAGATGGAGTCCGAGATGGACCCGAGATGGAATCCGAGATGGAGTCCGAGAAGGACCCGAGATGAAGTCCAAGGTCGAGACCGAGACCGGGACCAAGACCGAGACCGGGACCGAGACCGAGACCGAGGCGGAGGCCGAGACCGAGCCCGAGTCCGAGTCCGAGCCCGAGTCCGAGTCCGAGTTCAAGTCTGAGAGGGTGAAAGCCCAAAGCGTTCGTCTCCTAGACCCTGGAGGGTTTGGTGAGCTCCAAAAGTATAATAAGGGGGAGGACTGCAGTGGAGCCAGTTTGGCCAAGAAAGGCCAGTTTGGCCCAGGAAGGCCAGACCCAGTGTTGGGTGATGAGCTGACCACTGGGAAGTCCAAGACTAGAGTGAACATGGACCGACAAGCGAGGTAGCTTGGTGAAGTGTTCAAGATCCGGCTCTAGTTCCCTGGGAGATCGACTGGCCGATGCTCCCAGTCCAAGTGTGGGTGGCACTACCTACTTGGATACCAGGCGTGGCTCAGCGGAACCTCGCTCTAAGCCCATGGCTAGAGCACCCAATGGCGGAAGGCAGGGAGAGTACCCAGGTGGCTCGCGTAATGCCACGGTGTTCCGAAGTGTTGTCCCAAAGTCCCAGACTGTGGAAAGGAAAAGGAGCAGTCCTTTGGTGTGGTGGCCAAGGATATGGTCACGTGGTGAGGAAGTCCCAGAGGACTGTGGGACTTAGTGGTCGGGCCTGTGGGCTTCGATCTAGTGGCAGTGTTGGCAAACTCGGCCAAAGGCAAAAAGGGACTTAGTGGGGACTGACAGAGGGATATTGGGGAAGGCTGTTCCCTTTGTTGGTGGGCATCCTAAGGATGCTAAGGAGTGGATCTGGGATGACCACTCATGGATGGTTGGCCCAGTCTTGGAGAGACAAGACTGTGTTGTAAGTGGTATTGGACTACCAGTGCAGCAAAGGTGATTGGGCATGGCCTTAGCGTAACAGGTTGCTATGTCGGTGGTACCTTTGAGTGTCGGTCATGGGATCGAACACATGGAGCACTTGGACCAGGTGCAAGGGTTGAGTGGCATGGATGCCATTCTTGGGGCTAGCAAGTCCCAAGTCTTGAATTGGACTTATGGAGATTGTGAATGAGACTCCTCCAAATGGTCGGAGGTGTGGTTAAGTGACTAAAGTAGAATGGAAAAATTAGTCGCTTACAACTTAGTGTCGGAGCTGTTCCTTAGTCCGACTTTTATTGGTGCTCAAGTATATCACCATTGATGTTGGCATCGGAAGGTCTTAGGAGTGGGCTTATCCTTGAGGAGTAGCATGTCGAGAGGACATAGCTCTCCACTCAAGTTCATGCGTGAACTTGGGCACAATGTGGTGGATAGAAAAGGGCCAATAATGGAACGACTTTGGGATTTTGGGAATAGTATAAAGTTTCCTTAGAGAGTTGAGGATGTGATCCAAATGAGTGTTTGACGCAACAAACGCGATAAACATGATAAACAACTATAGTTGGGATCACGGGAAAGATAAAAACTCCAAAGCAATAAAGGAGTCACAAGATTATCCTCATATAGTTGAGGTTGGTGCTCATGAATGTGAGACCAGAAGTAATGACTGTGGGAGGTCAAATAAGGAAGAGGACTCAAGTCCTTGAAATGGTAGCTGGGGCTACCTTTAATAAATGCTGGAACAACCCAAGGAGTTGGGGGGTGTACTTAGAGAAGTGCTGGTATTCTCATCACATGGACAAGTAGTCCTAAGGGGCAAAGGTTGCCCCAAAGAACAAAATCAAGTGTCAGAGTAACACTTGTGAAAATAGTCCTTGTGAGTGAGGACATGAATGCAAGAAGTGTATTCCAGTGAGCTAGTGCCCGACAAGTAGGACCTTACGAGTCTGTGGATTAACCAAGTCCAAAACTGCTAGATGACTCAAGTAGAGCCAAGGAATGGTCCTAAAGGACTAATGGAAGCATTTGGACTGAAGTGTGTGGTACCCCACGAAGGATGGGGGGGATCATAGGATCCAAGGATGAGAACAGAGGGTATCTCATCGATGGCAAAATATGCCATGCTAAAGTCGTGGGAAGGGTGTTCCCAAAAGAAAACAGCTTTGAAACAAAGTTGTGTGTGACTTTTATGGTGCAGTGCTAACGGATGGTTGGTATGAGAAAGAGTGGTATTGGTCTTGGCAAAAGACTTAGACACAAAGAAGAAGTGTCATAGAGGTAAGCTTGTGGAGCCGATGGTGTGGAGACACCAAATATGCTAAGGTGTGATACCTTGAGGCTATGTTGGTGGGTTCATGAGAACCCCTTGCCAAAGGAATCCCAATGGAAATGGGAATGGCATAGCCTAAGCTGCAGAGCATGCAGTTGGAGTGTGGTGACCTAGATAATGATGGAGTTGTGGAAGCACTAGCAATGAGTTGTAGGACTTGACAGCTATGAAGCAACTAAGCAAGAGGTGCAAAATAATTGGTTAAACGGGTAGAAGGTAGCTACCCAAGCCTTCTTAATGGCATAAAGAAGTTGGATATACCCTTACGGGGGATAAGTTGCTTATGTTGCGATATAGTAAGTCAATGTCATAAAAGGAAATACTCATTGTCAAGGAAGCCGTCATTGGGACACCCGAACACTCTAGAACACCAGGAGGTGGTGTTTGATGTCGCGAGGGAAATAGATAAGGCCCAAGGGACTAAGTCCCTAGCGAATGATGGACAGAAGGTGCTATCCAAATGTCCAAGGTAGCAGAGATAGAAGAAGCCTGTCTACTCGAATTGGACAAAGCCAAAAATGGAATTTTGGCAAGGCGAGCGATGGGCATGTAAAGGCCCATAAGCAACAATGTAATCTCGGTGTGTGGGATTATAGGGTTAGCATATCTGGATTGAGGAACCACTCCCTAGGCTATCGGGTAGGTTCATCCCTAAAAATACTTGCTAAGGCATGATAGAAAGTGCAAAGCTATCCTCCTGGTCTGGAGGAGAATGACCGAAGGAAAGGTGTGAAGCCAAAAGCAAGAAGTAAGGGGGTAGAACCGAACCATAGGAATCGAAGGGCATAACCAAGGTTGGTTATGCCAACTGGGAGTGGAGAATCAAGTGGGGGCTCGAGGGTGTTGTCGCTAGCAACCGTGATGCCATGGAGAGTCTAAAATATGGAATTGTTCATGTTAGACTATATGGTAATTGAAAAGCTCGCAAAAAGGGAGGCCTTAGCAAGCTAAGGGACAGAGTTCCTTCAAGGTTCCCAAAGATGATTCTAGGTAGCTTAGTACCTAGAAAGGCCAAGCGTAAATGGTTCAAGGAACGTGCAAAATCAGAGTGGCGCAGCAGAAGCGTGGTTTTGAAGCTTGCCATGAGGCAAGGCTATCAAGGTTAGGGAAGTAATTCCCGAGTGTTCAAAGAGAGGGCTTTGAACGAAAGTCGATGATCAAGGGCTTTCATGCTTGTGCAAGAACCATGTTACAGTGGTCGGAGGACTTGCCAAAGCGAGATTGGCAAGTCAGGGGAACAAATACCCTAGTTGAAGGTGATAACTTCAAAAAGGGTGAGCCATGGGGCCAAGCATGGAGGAGTCCATGCATGATCACAGACTTGTCAAGTGAGAGGACTTGGCAATGTGGAGGAACTAGGTTCCTAAGCTGTGATCTATAGTGCGCTTTAAGTATAAGTTGGTGCACCGGCGTGGGGAGTCACGCCAGGCATCTAGAGTGATGCCGTCCGTAGATGCATATATGGAGGTTGGGTTCAAGTCCCGACCCTCTAGTGCTTGGGTTCGAGTCCCAAATCACTAGGGCGTGGTGATGGTTTGGAATATGAGGACACTCATATTT